GGTGGAGATGAGAGGTGTCCTAGAGCAGGCTTCAGTATCCACCTGCCAACTTTCTGGGTCCCAAGGGTGGGAGGCTGGCAGAGTGGGGCTGGACTATGATTCCAGTGCCCAGTCACCAGCTTTGTGATGGTTGAGAGGTGGTTGTGACACTGGTAACAGCATCCTCATCCCTACATCCCAGCTCCATTTGTGGTTCTTGAACTCACAGCCACAGCAGCAGCCGCTGGGGTTGTGGCGTTTGCAGAATTTTTCCTTGAGGCTGACTCTAGAGCACACTCCCCCAGCCCTTCCAAGGATTTGCTAAACACTTTCTGTTTTGGAAAAAATCATAAATTCACAGAAGTTCCAAAGATAGTACAGGGAGGTCCTGTGTACCCTTCACCTAGATTCCCCTGTAGTTACATCCTCCTTAATTGTAGTGTGATATCAAAACCAAGAACTTGACATTGGTACAATATGTGTGATTCCACAGTCCTGTTATCACGTGTACACTCATCAAACACCTCGGCAATCAAGATAAAGAACTGTTTCATTGCCACAAAGATCTCCTGCACTCCTATATAGTCACACCTACCCCTTTCACTCTCTCCCATTCCTAATCCCTGGCAACCACAAATCTGTTCTCCATTTCTAAAATTTTCTCATTTCAAGAGGAATGTTACATAAATGGAACCACCCAGGATGTAAACTTTTGAGGTTGGCTTTTCTTCCACTCAGCACAATGTCCTCGAGATCATCCAAGTTGTCGATGTATCAGTAACCCAATCCCTTTTGTTGCTGAGTAGTATTCCGTGGTACAGATGTGCCACGGTTTGTTTAACGATTTGCCCATTGAAGGGCATCTGGGTCATTTTCAGTTCTTGACTATTGCAAACAAATCTGCTGGGAACATTTGTGTACAGGCTTTTGTGTGAACATCATTTTCATTTCTCTGGGGTAAATGCCCAGGAGTCCAATTTCTGAGTCATAGGATAAGTACATGTTTAATTTCTTAAGAAACTGCTCATCTATTTCACAGAGTACCATTTTACATTCTTACCAGCAATGAATGTAAACCCAGTTGTTCTGCATGATTGCTGGCATTTGGTATTGTTGCTGTTTCTTATTTTAGTGGAGGCATGGTTGAGTCTTCCCTCTCCACCAATGTCTCTATATTTGAACTTGGAAAATGGGGATGATTTGGGGATACTGGGGGATATTAACCTCACAGTTACACAGTAATCCACCCCCACCCCCATTTTCCATTAGTTGGAAAAGGTAGTATTGCAAAACATTGTTTATCAGAAATTCACATTGAACTGGGTGTCCCCTACTTTTGTTTGCTAAATTTAGCAACCCTAGGAAAAGGCTGACCTACCTGAACCAGTCAAAAGTCTGAAAGTACAACACTCAAAAACGCATCATTTGATTATTTCCACTAAATGTAAGCTCCCAGAAGGCAAAGATTACATCTTCTTGTACTTTTTATTCCCAGGATCCAGGATAGAATTATCTCAAATTCTAAATTAGTTGTGTGTGACTTCATGAATTTTTTTCTTTGAGAAATGAAACTCCTTTGGTTAAAGGACAAACATAGCTGACTATGCTGCTGTTTGGAAGGGGTGTGTTTTTTAAAATGTTAATTAGAATTTATTTGGCTTTCAAAAATTCATATATAAACATAATGGAAACAGAAATGACACAGGAGGCTTCAGACCACATCCCTTTAAGGTAACTCACTCTGCCCACCTGCTTTCCCATAGGCTCAGTGTGGCTAGAGCGGACTGCGAGGCTGGCTTTGTGCTGCTTCTGCGGTGGGACCTGGGCCCCACAACCTGTACCCTCCTGAAGGGAGGCCCACAGTGCCGGTCCACAGGTCAATGCAGCCTTGGTTCGCTGCCTCTGGTGCTGACTGCAGGGGCCTAGCCAGGCCATCATCACCACCATCACTTGGACTGGGAGGGTGCAGGGCTGCACTTCTGCAGAGACCAGTGGTGGCAGCAGGAGGCTGCCTCCCTTCTGTCCTTCCCTGCATCTGGAAAAGGACTACTTGGAGGCCTGAAACTGCCCTCCTGTCCTGAAGGGTGGAAACCCTGGCTTAACTAGGTCTTCCGTCAGCTGTAGGCCACATGGACTGTTGGGCACCTGGACAGCCTGACTATATCGGGCTGTGGCTGATTGGAACAGCTGGAGGCTGGTCAGGGGCTGAGGAACACCTGAGGCATTCCTTATGGGTTTAAGTTATCATGTGGCCCCCCTGTCCAGATGTGGCACGCCCCTGCTGCCATCCCATCTACAGCCAGCAGGATGGTTTCAGAGTGGACTTACGGCGGAAGTCAGGGGGAAGAGGAGCAGAAGCCAAGGGCTGAGGAGCTCTGGCCCCGGGAGCCACTGGGTTACTTGTGACAGACTTTGGCTTAGTAGCTGTCTGCATATCCCAGACCTCAGCTCTCTCTTGTGCTCTTCCTTTCACCTGACTCTTTGATGGTTAAGATGCAGTTTCATAATAAACAGGATAGAGAAATGTAAATGCCCTTGATGTTACGTAAGCTCTTAATCACTCCTGTGTGTGTGTGTATAGGAGTCATAAGAGATTATTTATACATTCATCCCCCTATGAATATGGAGATGATGGAGATGGTCTCTATTGTGTAGGGATGTGTGTGTTACATCGATGTATGTATTTGTCAAAATTCATGTAACTCTACACTGAAGATCTGTGTATTTCAACATAAACACCAGTAAATGGTTTTTTTTAAAAAGCAGCAGCGGCAAAAGAAAAAATGCTGCTACTACTTAGTGCTGTCAAGGGGTGGCCTGGGCTGCTGGGCATGGATCCAGCTCCTCCGTGGAGCCTGGGGGAAGAAGGTTAATCTCCTAGTGATTGTACACAACATTCTCTAGCTAACCACAGTGTTGTTTCCAAAGAGTAGTTGTCAGTGACATGGCAGTGGTCATGTCATAATGTTAGAGGAAAAAAAAGCGGGGGGAGGGGGGGCAAAGTTTCACATAAAGCAGATTCCCAATTTGTAAAAAAGTTTGGACAAAGGCAGAGATACGTATATTCATTGAGCCAAGGAACCATTCATTGACTTGGCTGTGACTCACATGACACAAACCCTCACTGAGCTCCCAGCCTGTGAGCAATGCCTCGTGGAGAGGTAAGTGCTTCCCGGGAGACAGTGGCGGGGCCAACAGGGGTAAGGCTTTGTGGGTGTGACAAACTGGGTTTTCAAGAGAGCTGGCCCTTGGGCTAAGTGGTCTTCCTTTTAAATCAAGGTGTGCCGTACAGAAAGCACAGAGGTGAGTGAATGCACTAATGTGCCGTGTAAGCAAGATGGTGGCTTTCCTCAATGTCCACGGTGCAACCACCATCCAGACCACAATGTTGCCAACACACAACCCACTTGTGTCCATCCCAGTCTTTACCTCCCTTCCCGGTAACCACCATTCTGACTTCCATTGCTATGTTTGTATTCCTGTTCTAGGACTTCATACAAATGGAATCACACAGTAAGTATTCTTTTGGGTCTGCCTTCTTTTACCCAGTGTTGTCTGATATTCACTTCATTCTTTTTAAAATCGTCGTGTCCATTGTATGAATATACCTGTTGATGAACACTTGAATTGTTTATGGTGTTTGGCCATTAAGAGTAGAACCATGGACATTTGAAGACATGTCTTTTTGCTGACATAGCACTCATTTCTCTTGGGTATATCTCAAGAAGTGGAATTGCTGAGAGATAGGGCAACTAAGTGCTCAGCTTTAGTAAAAACCGCCAAATGGTTTTCCAAGGGGTTGTACCATTTCACTCCCCCAGCCCCAGCAGTGTCTGAGATCTCTGGCTTTGAGCTGAGTCTTGATGTGTGGGTTCTCATGGCAGTTTATGGTGGTGGCAGATGGACGCTACAGTTAGGAAGAAAGATATTCTGGGTAAAAGGAATGTCATAAAGATCCATGGCGACCATGAAAATGCACCATTCAGATCTCCTGCAGCAGAGAACAAGGGGATGGCCCAGCTGCCATGCTGAATCCACCAAGTACTGATGCTGAGGCCACATTTCCCACTGCAGCTCCCAGGTGACGACTAGCACTGGGTGGTGGGCGGGGGGAGGGATACTTATCTAATGGACACCTTTGGCTCAAGAACTCCCTGATCAGCCTGCTGAGAGGTTCTCAGCACTGAGCTACAGCCTAGGCTCCACCTCCTCTCCCCGGCTTCTTTCCCTCTGCCCCTTACAGGAGTCAGACCTGCAGCAGGTCTCCCCAACAATAAAAGGCCAAAACTCCTCTTTCTTCAGGACAGATTTGATCTTGGGCTAACTTTCTAGCTCTGCTCCCAGGGAAGTCAGACAAGCCAGTTAGCTGGATGTCAGGTGCGGTATTAGGCCAAACTGCCCATGGGAGTTTTTGACCTCTGATTGATAAGCTACACCTGGGCTGGAAGGACAAAGAATAAGCTATACCATCTGGTAAGAAAGCATGGCCTTAGGCTTCCCTAAGTGCAGAAACTCGTAACTGAGCATGTCCCTTGAGGTACCCTAGGAACTCTGATTGTGGGTTGTTGAAAACACGTTAACTCCTATGGGACATGGGCTTCTGAATCAAGATGGCCCTCAGAACTACTGATGTGAGGACTGCTCGTGCGGAAGGGAACTGCTGACATGGCCCTGCTGGCATGCTGAGCATCTATCTCCACCCTTCTACGAAACTCTGACGCCAGGTGTGGTCTGTCGAGGTCTTGCAAGTCTGAATGTCTAGTTGAGCCTAAGAAAAACTCATGGTAGATACAGCTCTTTCTCCCCTCTGCCCTCTGCTACCTACTTCTAGGCTTTTATCCCATGTAGGTGGAACTGTGATATTAGCTCAGCTAGTCAAGATGAAATCCAACCAGCTTGCTCACTTCGCCATCCTGGACGCTTTCCCATTGCCACGTCTCCCTAGTTAACAATCAAGATTAAAGGGCACCTGGGTTTTGAAGACCGGCTCCCCTTCCTCCCATCCAATAAGAAGACTTGACCAAGATGCTTAGAATCATTTAATGACTGTTCCAAACACACCCTTAACTGGGCTACAGGTAAATTTCACTGGGATGGAAGCAGATGAACCACCCAATCAAACAGTACATGATTACTCGGTTTCCAGAAATCTGGATACCAGAAAAACTCAGTAGGAAACATCAGGATCACGTAGCCAGAGGTTCCTTGTGATTCTTTCTTTCCTTCCTCCTCTCCTCTTCCTCCGCCCTGCTAAGGAACTTCTCCAGGGGTACAAATGTTCAGGATGGGAGAAGGGGAAGTCGGCTCCCATATCTCTAGGACAAAGAGGAGTGCTGTGACACCACACCCCCGGGGCAACAAGATGACGTGGAGGCACAGGCCTGGGGCAGGTCTGCTCAATAAATAGACAGTTCCCAGAAGTCTCCACAGTGGGATTAACGGGCCCAGGGATGCTGAACTGCAGAAGCCACCCTCCCGAGGCCGGGCTGTGGCCCGCTCGCTACGTGCTGCACACCAGCACATCTGCAAAGGGTCCCAGGAGGATCTTGTTGAAGATGCAGCGGACCCACACCAGGTAGGTGGTGAAGGGCTTGATGTTCTCAGTGAAGGTGTGGTTCTGCAGGGCCAGGATGTAAGGCACATAGGTGTTCTCCCCCTGCTCCTGCAGCCACACCTCATACTTCACCTCCCTCACCTTCAGGTACTTAAGGTTCCATGGGATCTGCCAGGAGACAGTGAGGCGGGCCTCGGAGGCGCCATGCACTGACGCCTGGCACTGTGCTTCCCGCACCTTGCCTGGATATAGGCCGACTGTCCACTTCTGCTTCCGTGGTCCTGGCCGGCCCTTCACCACGCGCCGTATGGTTTGAATGAGGGATGGGATGTCCACCTTGGTGTCCTGGTAGATTCGGAAGAGCCACTCAGGGTTCCGGCAACAGAGATGCCGTGGGACCTCACGGCTTTGCAGGATACGGGCTTGCTCAGCCCGGTCCAGATGGGTGATGCCCCCCTGGTCCCAGGGCCGCTCAGGGTGTGTGACTGTGTTCTCTGGCATCATGTTCCTCCAGGCTACATACTGGAGGTCCATGCCAGGCAGCATGGCCAGCGTCTTATAGGGAGTGTAGTGGTCGGGATTGACAGCATATGGGAAGAGCTCTACCACAGTTGCCCCACGGGGCAGGAAGAGGGTGGTGACCAGCTGGGCCCCATGCATGCTGACCAGCATGGAGGCGTTGCTGACCAGTCGCACGACATCAGCAAAGGCGTGGTCCTCCAGGGACACTGTCACTGTCTTCATCTGGAACTCCTGGGCCAGTGCCAGCAGCAGCTCTGCCTCATTCAGGATGAGTCTGTTCTGGGTTCGGCTAAAGACCAGAATGTACTCCTCGCCTAGAGGGGCTCCTGTGTGGCTTACGTTCAGCTTTTCCGTCATGAACCGTGCAAACTGCCGGATCTCATTGCCCGAGACCAGGATGTTGGCTTTCGGGCCCTGGGGCTGGACAAAGCCATACTGGTACCAGGTAGTGATCTTGGAGAGGCCCACAAAAGCATGGGAGAAGCACAGCAGCCGGCCCAGCGTCTTCAGCTGTGCCCGCAGGAGAGGCTGCTTGGGGCTGAGCAGCTTGTAGAGGTCGAAGTGTGCACCCTCGCCCCAGCCCTCCATGAAGAAGAGCCGTGCCTCGTGGGCCAGGCCGGGAAACTGCCGCAGGGTGTAGAAGAGTGGCAGCAGGTCGTCGTGAAAGACATGCATGAGGTTGTCGGGGTTGAAGCGGTTGGCGATGAGGGCCACATCTGGCACGAACACCGGCTTGGGCATGAAGCGCAGGGCAGCAGCAGGCAGCTCCACGAAGTTGAAGTACTGGGTGTTGTGGTCCTCCACGGTGGACAGGTCGAGCAGGGCTGGCTGGAAGCGCCGGGAACCCAGGTTGGGTAGCATGACAGAGGTGTTGCCATGGAAGAAGATGAACTCCTCGGCCTCGTTGGAGTAGCAGAGCCACTTGAAGCGGCAGATGCGGTCTGTGTGTGTGCGGCCTGTGCACACCATGTGTGTGCCACCCTCCATCAGGATCTGCAGTGCCTTCGGGTAGTCGATCCTCAGTGCTGGGGCTGGCTCTGTGGCCTGTCGGCCGAGGGCCAGCTCCTCCTCCAGTGTAGCTGCATGCTCACGCAGTCGCACATGCTTCCACAGGACCGCCGCCAGCACCGACACCAGGAGGGCGTTGAACACCGCAGAGAGGTGCATCCTAATGCCACTGTGGGGCCCTAGTGAGATGACGGCCACTGGGAAGCACCACAGGCCAGGCGGGCTTCACCCATCCCTATGGGCATCCCGAGAACTGGTGAAAGCCTGCAGGAGAGAAGGAAAAGAAAAAGGAGTTGGCACAGTCTGCCTGGCATCATTACAAGCTCCTGCTATATGCCAGGCGCTGTGCTAGGCTCTGTGTGCCCACTACAGCACTGGATCCTTGCAGCCATTGTGCTCATTGGTAGGCATAGTAGATTAGACCATTGTTTAAAATATTTACTCCCTCCCCATCGCCTCCATGTTGGAGAGTGCATCCCCATACCTGACTTTGGGCTTAGCCATTTAACTTGCTTTGGCCAGTGAGATGTCAGCAGACAGAACACAATCAAAGGTTTGGAAAGTGTTTGGCCTGGCCTTGCCCTCTTTATGACACTGGCATAAGAAGAATGTATTCAGGCTAACTTGCTGGCCCCAAGAGGAGCGAGTTACGCACGAAGCACAACCGCTCCGGCCATACCCTGTTCTAGTTCAGCTGATCCCTCATGACTGAGTGGGCCCAGCCAAGAGCAGCAGTGCCATCAGCCAAACCCAGCCAAGATCAGCTAACACATAGACATCGGGGCTGAACAACAGCTGATTAAACATCCCTGAAATTCTGGGGCTGTTTGTGATGAGGCACTGCTGCAGCAAAAGCCAACCAAGAGAGGTATCTGTGATGACAGGCCATAGGAAAATCCCTTGCAGGGGCCTGACATTCCTGGACTCTGGGTAATGACTTTCCGTTAAATGAGAACAACTGGCATTGGAGATCTGTGAACACTGTCCCCAGGTTGTACAAGACCCCGGTATGCCACCTGAGACACACACATGTATGGTCAGCTAAGCTTTGCTCCTGCTTAAAGTTTCTTTAGAAATCATGCCTGCTGGCTTTAGAATCCCTTAAGAGAAGGGTAGAAACTCGTCCCCTCGGTGGTAAGATAATTGTATCTGGGTGTCATCATTGAAAAATGTTTTGTATACTGAGCCAAAAAAAACCCAACAGGGTTTTAAATGCCCTCTCCCACATACACACACTGACAGAGAGGCCTGGCTAGGGGTGAGCATTTACTCCCTCTTCTTGTGATATTGTGAAGGGTATCATGCCTGCTCTGGGACCCAGGATTATTCAGACAGTGAAGAAGCTCATCCTTTGTGACACAGGAGCAGCACAGGTAACACCTGACACCTGCCTGGCACTGCACCGGGAGGGAGTAGCTGTTCCTTTATTCTCTTGTGGCTAGGTCCTGATGCAATTCCTACCTCCCTGTGATGAAAAGAATCCAAGTGCATCTTGCCTAGAAAGAGAAGGTGTCTTCAGCTAGGTTCCCTAAGAAGCAGAGTCAGGGGCAAGGATTTGAATCCAAACAGTTTGAGAAATTATCCCATGAAACACCTGTAGGAGAGTGGGAAAGTGAGACACAGAAGGGACCAAAGCCAACACAAACAGGGTACCTTAATGAGCAGTTAATGCCCTGTGTAGCCTTCCTCCCATGATCATATGCTGGATATAGTATGGAAGCTGGGATACATGTCTATCAAATCCTGTTGGGCATTACTTAGTTGAAGGCCATTCCTGGAGGCATGAGATCTCTTCTGGCCTACTCTTATCCAAAGGTTGAGCCCACACATATGAATATATTATATACTCCCCACCCCCAAATATCAGGAAATGAGAATTACCCTGAACAAGTATCATACAGTCTAGTTTTTTCTAGCACACTTTAGTCTAAGCTCATTAACAACAACAACAAAAAAAACCTGCCCATAATCATCTTAATTAACTCATCAGGTTGGCAACTTGCTGTTTAAAAAATACTTGTTTACTCCAGATGTTCTCAAGCCTGGCTGATTACTGGAATCCTCAGTTAAATAAAAATCCATATTCCCAGGCACCAGTCCTGGAGGTTCTGATTCAGTAGGTCTGGAGTATGGCTCAAGCATCTGCATTATTTGTTTCTTTTATTTCCTGCCTTCTTGTGAATTGCTTGAATTCCACTTTGATTTATCAGCAGTGTTTTTGAGTACATCTCTTGATATAGATTTTCTAGTGGTTGCTCTAGGCATCATATTATAACCTGTAACTTATCACAGTCTACTGGTATTGACATTTTACTTTTCAAATAAGTGTAGAAACTTTACCTCCACCTAGGTTCTTTTATAATATAATTGTCTTACATGTTTCCTCTACATATAATGAGACCCACATCAGACAGTAATTTTCGCTTCAACTGTCGAGTATGATTTCCTCAAGAGGGAAAGGATCATCTATTATATTCACCCATATTTTTACTCTTTATGTTCGTTCCTCATTCCTGATGTTCCAGGTTTCCTTCCATTCCTACATCCCTTCTTTGAAGAACTTCTGTTAGTTTGCTATTTTTTAAGGGTTAATTTCTTGGCAACAAATTATCTTAGTTTTCCTTCATGTCAAAATGTCTGATTTTAGCTTCATTCCTAAAGGATATCTTCACTGGGTATAGAATTTGGGGTATAGATTTTCCTTCTTTCAGTATGTGAAAAATGATGCTGTGTGATCTGGCCTCTGTGACTGCTGATGAGGAACTGCTACCCTTCGAATTGTTTTTCCCTGGAGGGAAATGCATCGTCTCCTGCTGCTCTTAAGATCTTGTTGAGTTCTCAAAAGTTTGACTCTGAGGTGCCTTGGCATGTATTTCTTTGGGTTTATCCTCTTTGGGGTTTGCTCAGATTCCTGAATCTGTAGGCTCTTGCCTTCCCCCAAATGTGGGACATAGCCATTAGTTCCTTGAAAACTTCTGCAGCCCCACACTGCTCTACTAGGACTCCAATTACACCAATCGTAGATTTAAAAAAAAAAAAAACTGTATTGTCCCACATATCTCTGAAGCTCTGTTAACTTTTTTCCAGTATTTTTTCTCCCTGTTGTTCAGACTGGATGATTTCTATCATTCTGGCTTCATGTTCACTGATTCTTTCCTGTGTCCTCTCCATTCTCGATTGAGCCCATCCAGTAATTTTAAAATTTTGGTTACTCTATTTTTCGTATCTAAAATTTCCATTTAGTTTTTATAACTTTTTTTTTTTGCTAAAACTTATCCTGGACATTTTGGTTATAATGTTATGATACTCTGGATCTTACTTAAATCTTGTTTTAGTAGCTTCTGTTAAAACCGTACTGGTTGGGGAAAGGAGGGAGAGCATTGACTCTTACTGTTGGTTGGGGGTGGGCGTCCAGGTTCCCTACTCAGCCTCCACCAACACCATTGTGGCTGGGAGGGTGAGGGATACTCAGCACAGAGTGTATGTCAGGGGGTCAAAACCCAGGCTCTGCAGTTGGCCTCCAATGACACCCTGGGGTGTGGATGGAAGTCTAGGCCCCAAGAGGACTATCACAGTGAAGGATGTACACTACTACTAGGCGGTGGTGGAAGTCTAGGCTTCCCATCAAGTGGGGAGGGTGTGGGGCAGCTGGTTACCACTAGGCAAAGGTGGAAGTCTAGGCTATCTGATACGGTTTGGCTCTGTGTCCCCACCCAAATCTCATCTTGTAGCTCCCGCAGTTCCCACATGTTGTGGGAGGGACCTGGTGTGAGATGACTGAATCTTGGGTCGGGGGGGTTCTTTCCTGTGCTGTTCTCATGATAGTGAATGGGTCTCACTAGATCTGATGGTTTTAAAAACAGGAGTTTCTCTGCACAAGCTCTCTCTTTGCCTGCTGCCATTCACGTAAGATGTGCCTTGTTCCTTCTTGCCCTCTGCCATGATTGTGAGGCCTCCCCAGCCATGTGGAACTGTAAGACCAATAAACCTTTCTTTTGTGAATTGCCCAGTCTCGGGTATGTCTTTATTGGCATGAAAACAGACTAATACGCTATCCATTTGGCCTTTACTAAAACTGAGGACTGGAGGGGGAGGCAATTTTCTCTGGTGTTTTGCAGGAATGGAGTATTTATAGAAAAAAAAACAAAAAAACAAAACAGTTGTACTATACTGTTCCTTCTTCCAGTCCTTTGACAAAAGAGACCAAGCTTCCTTGGGGCTTTGTTTTGTTCTGTGCTCACTGGCATTCCTGGACTGTGGGCTTCTCTAGCACCCACGGTAGAATATGTAGGAGGCAAGAAGAAAACCCAGAGGACTCACCATTACATTGTTCTGTGAGTTCCAGAGTCCCTAGTTGGTTCACTCCTTTCTCCACCTTTCAGTCTTCCAGTGTTTTATATATAATGTCCAGTATTTTTAGCTATATTAGTAAGAGGGATACGGATAATTTTGTCTACTCCATTTTGACCAGAACCTGAGGTATCCTTGGCATCTACTTTTTTTTTTTAACCAAGCTCCCAGGTGATTCTGGGGTACAAACAGATTTGAGGAAAACCAAGTAGTTCTTAATCAAAGAAGCAGGCCATGAAACACATTACCACTTATCAGTTTAAAAGCTTGGAAATGTTTTCCTATTTCTTTTGTATATAAATTAAAGTAGGCTCAATGTTATCCTTATAATCACATCACCGTCACTCAATTGCTTTCTGATACATCTTGAATCAGGAAGATGAGGATCACTGTTTAGCTGGCACAAGAACCCACAACCCCACTGCCTAAGCTGTGGGCAGCAGTGAGCAGCCTATGTGTTAGTTATGCCTTATTAATAGCAACAGCTAGTATGAGTTACTGTTCTGCTCTGCTTCACTGCAAAATATCTTTTGGGTTTCAACAACACCTGTATGCCCACAGGAGTATGCTATGCATGTGACTCTTCCCTATCACATACTATGGGGGAAAGACAAAGGGCCAAATGTTGCAGCCAGAACCCTGCAGAACTTCAGATCAGGTCTATCACTTTGCTGCATGACACTCGACATGTTGCTATGCCTCTATGGCTCCTGGGTGCCTGGATGATCAGATAAAGCATCAGGCTGACCTTGGCTTCTCACCTGCTTAGCAATCAACTATGAAGCAGGATGCAAGCAATAAACATAAGCCCAGCTAAGCCAGGATACAAAGGAGTGGCTTCATTTTTTGTTCTCACAAGGCAGAAAGGAGAGGTGACTCCCACTCAGGCAATCATGTCTAACCTTAGAAGATGA